CATCTGTCTGCTAGTCGCACCGTTGGTCATTACAACGTTCCTTTCACTTGCCGGTTATTTCGCTTCTGCTCCAGAAAGGGAAAAATGTATCGCACCTCATACACCTTCATGAACACGTTAGTCGCCATGGCATACATCTTCCAATCTTCGTAGGGATAAATACTTGAAAACTATTACAGCATGGTCAGTGATACTTACGCATTTTTATGCTAGCTTTCGAATACTTGCATATAATCGTAGTTATAGTAACATCGTGATAGACATCACTCGAAAGAAACGCTTTTAACGATGTTCGTGTGGTAGTTATTTTAATGGTTCAGAAGCTGATCAAGGTATATCACTAGAAATCGATAGTGAAGACTGCCGAAAATTCATACCTTTTTTGAATCCTGTTTTCAATGAAACGATCAGGTTGCGGTCATGTGTCACCAGCGCTAAACTTTGAATGAAAGTTATTAAAAAAGACGAAGTGACACAAGTAGAACACAAATTTTGCCTTCTGGTGAATAGACGCTAGCCGTCGATAACAAAGGCAACTTGAGAAAAAGCTTGCGAAAAAAGCTCTTTATAGCTCGAAACCACGAAACAATAGTTAGGAGAGAAGCTCGACACACCCCAGCTTTTTTCTGAACTATTTCTCCACGTTAATTTCATGCAATAAATCATAATATTCGACCTTAAGAGTGACAACCATAGCAATTTGAGCATCTATATACTCGATATCGGTGAGTTGGGGTGGGCGTGTCACCGGAAGTGACGTGCACTTGATAGAAACTATGTGGATAAGCTGCTTCCAACATACATCGCTGGCTATCAGCAAAGCATGCTGGCAACAGCTTATCCACGCACTTCTATCAAGTGCACGTCACTTCCGGTGACACACCTACCCCAACTTTCGGATATCGACTGTACGTTTCCATGAGTCAGATCGTATCGTAGGAAAACGTTAACGTCAGATTTGTGTCCTTTCTGCTTTCGGGCTTTTTGTTCTCTAAATGATGAAGCACTAGACCGGCCATGGTGAATAGACAGGTGCGGTGAATACGGCAGACCACGAGCCAGCCAAGCCCGAAAATTTTCTTGGTGTTTTGCCAAAGACACGTGCGGACGTGTGCTGTTGTGCAGCAGAATGACCTGGCGCTTGTTTCTACAAAGCTTTTTATCGCACCTTGTCAAGAAGCTAGCAATAGGCAGCGCTTGTGATCATCCCTCCAGCAGGCAGAAAATCCCAGTAATGAAGGCGTCCAATTCCAAAACTACAACAGCGTCACCTTTCCTCATAATTTCATCTTGTTTCGCCGACTCTAGCCACTGTCCATTCCGCATGCGGTTGATGTAGCAGATTCACATTTCGTATTCAGTGACCACATGCCACAGCCAGACATCGATCTCATGCGACAAGGGAGGCAATAGCGCGCATGTCTGTCCACCCACATTCTGTTTATGTCTCGCGAACGAAATTATTTTGGGTGATGGAGACGCATTTATTAAAAAAGGCGATGGGAGCGGCGTATGCAGATCGGTCCCCCCCCCTTTCAAGCAACCCACAGAAGTTTTTGGAGCTTTTAGGAAAGACCTAGACACGAATTGCAATGACGGTGAACAAACTTTCCATCTTCGACCTAGTGGAGCAATGAAGAACGAGCGAGCTTCAATCCTTCACTGGATTGTGAATGGCCCCTTTCGAGCAACTCCTTGAGGTGCACAACTCTGGTCACTTCATGGCAGTGTATTGTCCGGGTTGATGAAGTCGGTTTTTAAGATGCTTTCATGGAATCATTATCGTAAAAAATTGCATTCCTTCGGAAGTTTCACGAGCAAAAGGAATCATTGCACAATGTCTTTAACATCTTTGACTTTTTCCGAATCCATATTTCACCAGGTACCGAGGATTAGGAAGCCACCGAGTGGCCAACACCTCTCTGGCGCTTTCTATTATATCCAAGTGTCGGAATGTGATACCTCAAGCAAGGCTTTCTGTTGACACAGCATGCCAAAATGGCACTGCATCTAAGTATGATCGTTGGCACTGACGATATTGTTGTTATCATTTTCTTCTCATTTTGGAAGTGCGTTTCACAGCGGAACAGCTATATATATTCCATTGTTGTCGTGTCTATAGCGGTTACCATTCTAAACGACCACATCTGAGCCGTACACGTGTCCAAAATCGTCGTCTCGTTTCCCAGGCATCCGACGAATTCTTCGGGTTTCTTCATCACTGCCGCATTCTGGTTTCAGATTTGCTTATGAAATTAATGAGATAGCTGCTTACGAAATATTGTATTGTGCAAAGTAACAGTTTGGCTTAAATTGATTCAAAAACAAGTTATAAAAATTGAACCATCAAAGAGCGCAAGATATTTATGAAAGAGTTTCTGCTTTAGTAATTTCTGCATCAAAAACGGAGTGCGAGATAATCTAATATCTCATTTTACCTTTTTCAGGATACGCAGAGACGGTAGACATCGTAAATCCCTTTCCAGGTTTCTGTTTTGCACATGCTGGGTTCAATCTAGTCATTTGGAAAACACAGGCCTTAGAAAGCGTGCCATCTCCAGACTCGCTAGTGTACATCTCGATGAGCGTGCCACTGATCACTAAAAAGAACACATGAGTAGAAATGACAGCAGATGTTAACAGCCGTTGAGCAGTAGATGCCAATCATATGTTATATGAACGAATATACCTAGCGAATATCTGCCTTCCTCAGATCTCCGAGAAGGACTTCTCTGTTACCCATCAAGAAATGAGATTCACAGTCAATGAATCTTCGACCGCAGCTTACCGTGAGATGGTGAGATGTATTACGCAGCTACATATGACAGGAGGAAATCCCCGCCAAGGTTTTAAAGGGTTCGTAAAACCAAGTAAGGAAGTGCGACAGATATTGGGTCCCACCAAAAACAAATGAATGTGATGGGCGGGAACGGACAGGAAAGCCTAAAAATTGAAATCATTTAGTTCTTTGCGAAATGTCAGAAGTTGCCGCCCCCAGATCCGTGGAATCCTGGTATTCTATCAAATTACGACGTTGCTGCGAACAATTCACAGATATCCTGCACAGCGACAAGCAGTACGTACATATCTGCGCCAGAGATCGTATCATTGCTTGAAGCCCACAATGAGTAACGAGGCGATCCAACAGACGAAGAGTGGAAGCTAATTTGGTGAAGGAATGAGGAGTAAAACCTTCGGGAGCTGGTTTTGGTTGCCGACTGCATCCAGCTAATAGCGCATCCGTAATAAAGTTTTGCTCCTTCTCATATCCAGTGACACCTTGACAATGACCGGAGCGTCAATTATCACAACTCAACAGCAAGTATTGTTCGCTCAGGGAAGCTCTACGCAGCCCATGCTAGACCTATAGACCGGCCTGATCTAATCTCTGATGATTCGAAGGGCGTGAATGATGTGAGCCTGTATGCACTGCTTGTTGGCTCCGCTCGACGCCTCCAAGCTGTCTGTGCTCAAGAATCATCTAGAAACGCTATTTACTGCACGTTCTAACGTTGCTGAGTGCCGATGTTAGTTGCCTTCTCGCATGTTGTGTAGCCGTGTATAGAGGTAGCTTTGCTTCTTTTGTTAATTTTTTTCATTAGAACGCGAGCGCTGAAAACAAAACTTCGCCAGGTGCTTTCGCTGTTTCGAGGGGAACTTATGATGGTAGTAAATGGTAAATACGTCTCAAATAGGCAAAAGGATCCATCAAGGATGGACGCAAGGACGACACATTAAAGGAATCTTGCGCGGAAAATTCTTGCACTCTTTCCTAACATGAATATGTCAGTTGTGATCACTGGAAATAGCACACAAAGTTTCACGCATGAAGATTCGGTTTCTGAAGAGAAACAAACGTACAAAAACTACACGTTATGGACCATCGAAGGACCAGGAGGCAGAGCCAGGCGAGGCATGGAAAGAAGACGGCGTTTGGCCGGCTACGTACCAGGCGACGCAATGAGAGAATCGGGTTAAAGCGCGCGATTTCGGAGAGTGGAGACAAATCGATCGATGGAATAGGATGGAGTAGAAGTGTAAGATGTGAATGCAACGAAGCAGAAGGCCAGAAAGAGCTTCTAGTGAATGCACTCCAAGAACCAAGTTTGAGCATCCCCGTCGCCAGCATTCGTGAAAGACGTCCGTGGGCAATTCGAACGCGTAGCAGCCTTTTCGAGTTTTCGAATTTCTAATCAAAACGAAAGCAATACTTCAGTTCTTTTCACTATTATCGTGGATAATGAGTCTCAAGCCAGTGATTTATGGCTGAAATAGAATCATGATTTTTCCGCGCAAGATTCCTTTAACGAGAAAGACCCCCAGGATCTCAAGACGCGATTTCTATAAATCAACGCCATCGTCTACACCCCTCACCCTTCAGATGAGTATAAATGCTGCGAAAAAAAAATTCGCAACGAATCTAGCGGCATTCAGTAATTCGAGGATCCTTATCGCCTTGAGCAGGCGTCATCACTTCTTGTCACCCACCCCATCAATGTCCACGTCACGTCTATTTTGCCGAAGTGTGTCGCTCGCTGCGAAAAAAGTCGCAACAAGGTCACTGCCATTTGTTTCCTGATGTCACCAATTACATCTCATGAGATGCCGTCATTCCCGATCACCACATCTTTCTCGCTGCATGATATCCATGAGTGCACGTGATCTACATATGTACTACCAGCGCGGACGGCGTAGCAAGTTGGTGGAAACCACACTCTGATGCCCTCACTATTTCTTGTTGAAGCTTCCATTCGTGTCCCCTTCTCCACCCATTATACCATAAAGTTCGGCGCTCTGCTACAGTAGCGAAAAAGCTATGTATTCTGGTCACACACTGACACACATCCGAAACAACTGTGTAGCTTTGTACATAGTGGAATACGATGGCATGAGCGTCAAAGAATTGCTTTCTGAAGTAAGAATGCTTCGCTTGTCCGTGGGGTAAGTCTTTGATGCCACCTATTAACAGTGTCGGCGACCACAAATTGGGGTCGCCTTCTTCAGAGCCAAGTGACAGCTCGAGAAAATGGGACAGCTTGTTGCCGAATGGTGAGTGTTATTCCGGCTCGGCCAATTTTTCCCCATATTAGTTGATGTCCAGCCGCATCGATGTTCTCGCCGGTTACACGATGCATTTCCCAACCAATTTTCTCGAACTGCAACGATAGCTGCCTGCTGCATTTTTAAGGTCTGTGTCGCATTTTCGGGGCGATTGTAGAATCGAGGTTGCACCACTTAGGAAATTTCGTCGCACCTTCAGATGATACGAGCCGTCGATTATGTTTCTTCATACAACTCAACTACAGATGATGAAGATGAGAATAAGTTACAGTTCATCGCTCAAGGCCATTTTTGAGCCATCCAATATGCGCACGGCCTCATCCAATTCAGGAATGGAAAAGGGAGCCAAGGAGCATTTTAGTTCAGCACGTGTGCTAAAACGTGCCCTTGAGAAGGAACAAAGTTTAAAGATTTTGTGGGGAAAACCTCTAAAATACCGTAGAGGTATAAGATGTAGAGTTATCTTTCAGCTGATGAGTCTTGCTTCATGTGCATAGGTTGTCATAAACGGATACAGGCATTCGCTCCATTTTCTTACTTGTGCTGAGGTACAAACAGTAGCGTGGAGCGGAAATGAAACAAGACTTGACATTAGCTTCGGATCAGATTTTGAGGAGACTGATTCGAAAAATGACAACGGAGGAAGGGACCGCCAGAAAGCAGCCGTAACGAAATAGGTTTCCACTCGTTTGCAATCGAGATTGTCACAGACCACAAGTGTGGAAAGGCTAAGAGGAGAATCACAAAGCCAGCTCCAGTCAGAGGAACGATCTCAAAACCTTTCGACTTCCAGAAGGTACTCACCATTCGCAGCCAACAGAGCGGACAGAATGAGACCTACGAACTTCTGGAGTCACCAACCCCCTAATCAGTGCAGTGTGAATGGTTCAATAATCTACCTCATTTCGTACGATCAGGTGGCAGGGAGCGGTTGCACATTGTTTCAAACCAAACGACAAGTAGCAACGTACTGCACGTATAATCGTACCAACCACTTTTCGAAAGCGGTGCAAGGAAGAATTGCAGTACCCGCTACGGAGAGTCGCCATGGTCTGACACGTTAGGAGAGGTGAACCGTGGTCTTCGGCCGTGACGTTCAGGTTTTATTTGGGTAAATGTTTGGAAAGCCATATTTTGTGGGTTGACCGAAAGATATCCGTTCTGTGCGGCATCAAAATTGCGACATCAAGACTGAACATGGTATTTCTACATTGGAATATTGGGCTGTCTCATAAGTTCTGGCCAAATTTCAACACTTTGATTTCTTCAAGTTTTATCTTTCCTTAAAACAATTGATCAAAAATATAACCACCATCATAATCACTGATATGCATCCATTTGCTAGGGAACGAATGGATGCATTCCTCCCAGAACGAGTGAAGCTGTGAGATGAAAAGCTCGGAGAGGTCGTTTTTGGGGTGGTTGTATTTACTGACTTTTTTCTCTCCTAGCTGCTGCTTCAGGGAGCTGGGGAGGTGATAGTACGATGGAGCAATGTCAGGGCTATACGACAGATGTGGTGTCGTGGTCCAGCCAGTTTCCCTCGAAACGTGGCGAGTTATCTTTGCAATGTGATTTCGGGCGGTCCTTCGGAGAAAGGAGATTTTGAGACGTTTCGGACGTTTCTCCCGTGTTGCTGCTGCCAACCGGGGGCTATTTCATGGGGTTTTGGTCAAGATTGTGGATCCAGGCTGCACCATTCGTGCTGCGCGTTGTTATTGGCATACTCGTGACTCACCTGCACTGGTGACCAACCAGGGAATGTCTTGTCTATACGGTCGCAGAATGAAACTTCTGCAGATGGTCAGGCGTGCTTCTCGGTCATGGTCAGTCGATGCATGCTGTTTCCATCGAGACTTCATTCTGCTACAGCCCATTCCATTCAGGTGTCGACTCATGGAGCGTAGGCTGCGTCCAGATGTTTGCTACAGTTTCCTGCTAATAGCGTCCGGATGCACTTCCTATTCGTTGCGCAATGGGTCCTCATCGAACGTGATTGGAGGTCCGGGATAATCGTTGGGTACGTTAATCTATTTTGATTCCTACTTAACTATCCCGTTGCGCATTTGAGCTTCTGAAAAGCCCTGGCTGAAGGTCCTGATGTGTTCTTCAACATATCAACTTATTTCGTATGAAGCTAATTTGACATGAAGAAAATTGAATTTGAACAAAAATCGGCCAGGAATTATGGGACAACCCAATATAAGTAAGATTTTCGTTGCGATAAAGAAAATCGCAGAACGTGACACAGGTCAAGAAGTCGAACTCACTGCACACCGAACCCACCATGAAGAAGGAGGAATAAAAGATGAAAATTGCGATAGAAGGGGTATCTGTGAAGAAAGAGTTGAGAGCCATCTGGAATGTAGGTTGCGTTATTGGCAGAGGGCGTTCAACGGCTTGGCCTGTAATGTTGTTCTCAGAAAGTCTGCCGCGGACGCGTAGAGGGATGATAGCAATAACGAGAACGTATCTGAAATACAAGCGTTCTCTCCGTTAGTCTATTTTCATTTCTAAAAGCACCGTCATATTAGCATTGAAGCAGTAACTACCTATGGATTGTTTCCAGAACGCCAATAGCGCAAGCGCTATCCTATGTGTTAACTATGCAGTAACAGAGAAAAACGTGCCATTTTTCCGTACGGTGCTTATGATTGCCATGTCTGAACAACCAGTCAGGAAGCAAAAGTGTCCTTTCGATGTATTGAATTCTTGCGGGACGACAGCCTGAGAAATGCTGCTTTGGCTGCACTCAGCCCACTTCTTCATCCGGGCCTGAATTACACGGCTTCAGGTTTTGATATTATCTCAGAATTCAACACGATTACTGGGATTGGCTAGAAACTCTTCTCATTTTCATTTATGAATTCCTCACAGATATTAGAAACCACCGTGAAGCTCTTGGCATCTCGGTGTTGGCAAGTACCGCACCAATTGAGCTTGAGAGGTGACTTCTTTATCGCATACCAACCATCCAGACGAATGTGCAGTTCGAGCGCGCCAAATTATAGCCGGGTACGAAAAAATGTGGAATTTTTTTGAACAATTTACTCCTTCCAGCAGACATTTCGAGCCTCCCGTCAGTGTTTTGAAGCAAGCAGATTGGAAAAAAGATCGGAAACAGCCAATAACGGCCCACTTATATTTGCAAAGCCGTGTTTGGACAAGTGTTCTGGCGTTCTTCTTCCAGTTATAGCAATTTCTGTTCAAAGTGTTGCCACTTATTCAATTAACCGCAGGACGTTTTCAAACGATAAGGATTTTACCCCAAATTTTCCACAACATCTTTGACATTCCGCTAGCCTTTTCTGTCAGCATCTACCCAAAACATTACGCAGAATGTCCTGTCAAATTGGACACGTAAAAGAAATGTAGAGAATACTGTTTGATAAAAGTTAACCGAAAATTGGCGGATGTGCTGATTTTCCTGTCTTGGAAGGAAAGTCAATAATACTTCGAACAAGAGGGTGATTATTCGTCAGATAAGTTCTATTCAGCAATCATTTTCCAAGCAGCGAACAAACCTTCAGGAGACATCTTTCCAACTCTGCTTGCTACGCGGCTTTTTGTATTAGTCACAATGCTCTGAAATCCGTGCATGGAATCAAGCGCAATATAGCGCGCTTATAAAACCGACTCTAGAGGGATGAGACGTCAGTGAAGCGCAGACAGGCTACTCGTGAAAGATCGTTTGGCTGAGCTGTAAATTACGGGTCTTACAAAAGATTATCACTCTCTGTGGCTGATTGCTCGCCAGGGTGTTTCTGATCAATGATACTGAGTGCAGACAGTCAAGGAATGCTTGTACGGATCGCACGAGTCGACCGGAAGCAGCGATGAACTGAGGCGGCGGGTCGCTGTGATGGAGGCTACGTCCTTCACATGGCTTGTTGGACTTGTTTGACGACGGCACACACGGAGGAGAGAGTGGCCCACTTTGAGCTGAGGAGCTAAGACGGAAGAGTGGTGCGGTATTTACGCTTTTCTTGAGAGTGGTCTTAATAGTACGAGGAAACGGCCAGACATTCGCAATAGTAAGCGAATATAATCGGCCGGACCATATTGGGAATCGAATATAATCGTTTGCGAGAGATTTAACAGAGTCTGCGATTTGAGAAATGAATACGGCGCATCTAGTAGGTAAGGCGTGGGCGCCACGCTTCGTCAACGTAATATTGCAACTCGGTGTTCTACCGTCACCATGGGTCGGAAAATACCATTTGGCTATTGAAAACTGCTGCCTGGCTGAGATTTCACTTTGAAGAATAGCGGTTCGGCTATTAACCGCGCTTCTGAACATTTGAAAAAGAGCTTGGCGTAGCGCGCCGCTGAAAAACTCGCACGCTTCAGATGTTCCTGTCGACAACATTAGTATCTCTCAAAATATATTTTGATTTGAAGTGCATGATGGTACACGAAGAATTGTTATTGGCATCATTCGCTCTTTGCTGGCTCGCCTCTCCATTAATGAAGTGGAATTGTCTCGCATTAAAGCCACAAGGCCACAGATAAGGTTTTCGAGGGGTTAAGTATTTACATAGATACATCTTCGAAAGAGACAGGATCGTATCAAGTTATACGATATCAAGGTTGCTGAAAGTGGGAGTGTAAATATGTAGGAAGTGTAAATTTTCTTGATTGTTAAAATAGACTGAAATTTAGGCTAGGGTAGCTTGATCCGTGGATTGTATGAGGCGAAAACTGAAAAGCGCAAGAGGGCAGAACAGAACAGAAAATTGATTGGGTCTGGTCAGCGATCCCTTCAAGCACGGAGCGTCAGCGGAGCGCTTGAGAAGAACGTCAAGAAAGTGTAGAAACGGCGACGGAGCAGCAATATATGATCTCAAAAACCGAGCTAGATTTTTGTCGAAATTTGTCCATGACTGAAGATTCGGCTAGGAAGTTGAGTCCGAGAGCAGTACGACCCGAAGAAAACAAATATTGCATCACTTAAGAGCAAAAGCGCCTGGCGTCTGCTTTGCAAGTGCCGGCGCTTGACCCGAACAACATAACTACCACATCAGTTCGTAACGAATCAGCCTCGTCACGCGCCGGCGCAAAAATAGTGTGATAGCTGATACCGCCACGTCATCACTCTGAACTGATGCAATATTCGTGATCTGCTGGTTAAACTTCTCGCCTCTCCCTGAGACAATTGAGCAATTCCCACAGTCATGAACAAATTTTGATCGAAGTCCGGCACAATTTGAGGAGTGGGGCAGTAAAGATAAATTGGCTCAACGTCACGCAGATGAAGAGAGATTCTCGTGCAAGTGTTAGCACTGTTTAGCAGAGGTGATCGCCTGAGTCGAGAACAATGTCTCGACAAAAAATGCTTTCCGGCGTGTCTGGAGAACAGTTGAAGCCCAACCACAAATGTGGCGTTCTCGTGCACGGAAACCAACCGACAAGAGCGCTTGGGCCTTGCAAAGTAAGCTGCTGAAGCTGCAGATTTTTTTCTTATCAGGCTGTTGTCTGGCGCTCTCTCATCTGTAGCGCTCTCTCGCCTCATACTCTCCTCTCCGCGCTTAGTCTCTCATTCCCTTAGCACAGCCGATTAAGGTGAGTGAGCCCTTAACCTGAGCGTTTTCGACGGATTCTTTTCCTTTTTTCTTTACTGCCGGCCCATTCGCACCAATACATTCGCATTCGTGTGCAAGAGCCACACCAATGTGATCCTGGGGCATGCCTTCAAGGCGCGATTGTGCTTGACCTTGAAAGCACTGAGCGAGGCGGCCCAAATTATTCACGCCTCCAAAGTTTCTAGGAATGTACCTCGCTCAAACCTTGCTGGCGTTATGCTTCGCTCGCTGGTGCCTCAATAACTGCTGCCATGCCTTCGAATGGCTAGACCAGATCGTGTATGGTTAAGAGGACTGAGCTAAGTATGAATCTTCTGTTAGGCCCCAAATGCGTGGTGTCTGAGAAGAACTCTGGCCTCTTGTAATACAGCTAAACTGTGTTTGGAATGTCTCTTAAATTTTTCAATTCTTCTATTGACGTATGTGAACTTGTCGACTTCAAAAGAGTCATCAACGAAAGCATTTCTTGCTGCCCTCTTGCTGAACATTGCACGAGGACCATGTCTGTAGCGCCTCTTTTTTCGTCTTCTTAGTCGACGAAACTCGAACTATACACTCAATTTTTCTGCCATAAAGTTAACGAGAATTAGAGCTTACTTGTCCAGAGGTCCTCTTTCGACGTACTTTCCGGTTTGCCCATAACAACAAGAGGAAGAAACCCAGAAGTCTCAGTTGTGAAGGATACCGTCTTTCTCATATGTCAGATGGATGAGTGAGATCTGAGGGGAGTGTGCTGTCGATCGTCACCACTAAATTAATCGAGAGAAGCAGTGTCCACACACCTGCTGGGCCACTAGTGGACTGTTCAATAGATGGGTTTCGACCGAATTGGGACGTTATTTCGTTCGAAAATTAAACAATAGTTCTGAAGAGTTCCATAAGTAAGAAAGAAAAGCAAAAGAAACCACAGAAAACACTTTAAGTGAGGAGCCCATTTGCTTAAGTCGAACGCATTACGTCGGAGAGACTCATTATAAGAGAGGGAAGAAAATAGGATGTCTGAGAAGACATTGACATCACGTATTCTGCGAATGATAGGAGAGGCAGCAGTCCCAGCGATCAAGGGCTGGTTACCTTTCTACCGCCGCGATTTCAAGTGGCGAAAGTACCACGACCCTGTCCTGGATCCTACTACCTCACTCCCAAGAAGATCTCTCAAGATCTGATCGGGACCGGTCCTAATTTAGTTCACTCAATTCCATATAAATATAGAGGGTCTGAAATCAATGGAAACACTCACTGACCATATGTGACTCGTTTGAGAACTATCAAAATAAAACGGTTGTCACTCTCACTCACAGCCAAAAATTCCTATTTCAATTTGAACGAAAATTATTAGGTTGTTGCAAAAGTCTTGACATTCGGATACGCTTGAAAATCATTTACAACTCAATAAACTATATAATCACCGTCGTCATCTATGACATTCATCCAACGAGCAGGCAAGTCGGCTATTCCCTTCTCTCCAGAAAGAAGAGGACTGTGAGTCAAAGAAGTCAGCTACAGTACGAGGTCACCAAAAGTGGCGAACTTCTTCTTGACCAGAATTGCTTGAGGTGCCTAAAAAGATGATAGTCAGAAGGGGCGAGGTCAGGGGAATAGGGAGGGTGGGGAACGGTATTCCAGCCGAGCTCCTGTAGCCTGGACTGCGTGATCTTTGCGACGTGAGGTCGAGCGTTATCATGCAGAAGATGACAGAAACCCTTCTCGGTCGCTTTTCTTCGATTGCATGAGCGAGTTCCTGAGCTGGCGACTGTATGCGGCCGTGACTGCCTGGCCTTGGGAGCAACTCATGGTATAGCATTCCCTTTGAGTCCCAGAAGCAGCACAGCAAAACCTTCTTGAGTGCTGTCCCGGCTTGGGCTGCACGGGTGGATCTTCTCCTTTTGGGAGCCAGACAGCGACCCTCTTGTTGTTGTCGTAGAAGATCCAGCTCTCATCCCCGGTCACCAGATCCTGCAGAAACTCCTTCCGATTTGGGTAAGGAGGAGCGACTGGGCGATTGAGACACGCGTGTGACGCAGATCGTCGGTCAGTTGGTGCGGAATCCATCGAGCGAAAACTTTCCTGTAACCGTGCTCGTTGTCGAACGACGTTGCTGTGATCGCACTCGAGAAGCTCCGCCAATTCCCTGCTCGTAGCCTCCGGCTTCTTCTTCACTTCAAAGAGAAGTCGGTCGTCTTCGATAACAACTGGTCGCCCGGAGCGGGATTGTCGTCGAGCATCGTATCTCCAGACTGAAAACGAGCGAATAAACGACTAACCGTCGCATGGCTGACGAGGTTCTCTCCGAATGCAGTGTTGATATTGGAGGCAGCGGAACGAGCACTGGAACCGCGGCGCCACTCGTAGAAGACGATTGCTCGAAGTTGACTTCTTGACAATTGCGACATGGTTTATACCAGAAGGGCTCGGGACCTATTTAAATACTGCTAGCGGTAACTCTGAGACTTGTTCCAGAATAAGATGACGGTGCAGAGGTTCTTGTAGAGGCGTGACTATCTGTGTGAATTTGTGTCTCAAGATTTTTGCACCAACCTAATAGAAATAGTTGTCGAAGAAAATCAGGCAACATCAACATTATTTAACAAGCTAGAATTCCGCATCAGCAAAAGCAAGTTTCATTAAAAGTGCATCACCTTCTCTTCGGCCGAGCATCCAGTGCATAGCTGAAGCCTTTGTGGGACTCCAAACGTGGCACTTTCTGTAAAGAAAAGCCTGAAGGAAACCCATTATATGGAGACTGCAGACAGTTCTGTGTCTAATCAGGTGCAGTACCGCTCAAAGTGGAGTGGGGCCTGCAGTATAAGAAGCATTCCTCACACCTTCACCGCTGTACTTACTGCGACACTTAGCGAAAAATGAGTGCATAATCAGGGCATGCTTTTTAAAATAAGAGTATGAATGGAATTAGCATAGCTACTGAAGCATTGGTATGAAGAAGCTTCGCTTCAAAACACCCAGACAGTCTGATGAACATCTTTAGTACTAGGTTGTTCGGAAAATTGCGAGTTCTAAGCTGTCTTGCATGTTTCGCATATTTTTATAGTTGGTGACTCATCTTATTTTTTTCAATAAATTTGAATTGAAGGTGTCAAAACAGTGGTTGCAACAGGATACTGTGCATATGCTTCGATAGTCACACTGTTTTTTCCTAACAGGCGTTTTCCTCACGTTTCCCTTCCGCGACGTAATAACCTTATGCTTATATACTTAATAATTTCATCGCCTCCGGAACTACTCATTTCAACTCTGGCGGAACAGTTAGTATGAATCTCATATGAAAAAGAGCAGTGTCAATGGGTTTTCATCCTGAACGAGAATATTTATGAGCGGGAATGAATTGAACATGATCTGAGTATGTCCCTGTAAGGACAAATACCGAAACCGCATTGCTTTCCGATCAGCCCAATAGATAGCATCCATTTATATATGCTCAATTTCATCAAAAATCAAGAACAAAAAAAGAAAAAGTTTCATTTCATTTCATCAAAAGCACAAATTCACTACTACATCGTCATCAAGCTTTACAAAAACCACTACTCCTAGATACAATCAGATCTTCGAGAGCTCAAGCTGCAAGAAGGAGCGAAGGTATCATGACTACCCGCTATAAATTTGTCAGCCCTGTTCGAAGGCAAATGCTGGAATGCAATTTTTCTCACCTCATATCACTGTAAACCGGTTGCGGCGTAGTATGATTCTTGAGAGCTAGATCCATGAACCATGGGTCGCCGTCTGTCTTCACCATTGGAATGCCTAATAGTTCTGGAAGATAACATGCATTATCTACTTTATCTTTTTGAGATCGTCCGTTTAAAGCCACGAGTCAGGATTAGGCAACCAGCAGAAGTTCTTCCCAGGGTGCGATAGTGGGCTCCCCAAGCACTGAGGGCGCGACACTATCGCGACCCAAAAGTGCGCGGCAATGGCGCTAAGGCCTTGCCCGCCGCGCTGCCCGCGCTGCCAGCGTAATCCACCACGGCATACGTGGTCTCTGCGTCCTCTCGCGTACGACGTACTATCTCGCGTTCTCCCTCTCCTCGCAGCGCTGTGTCTCTCCGTCGTACTACGGCCGGCCTCCTAAGGGAAATTTAGTGTTTTCTATGGTGCTTTTTGCTTTTTCTCCTCACTAATGTTCCTCATTGCACCCCTTGCCTAATGTTTGAACAAAATAACGCATCAATTCAATCCTGACTCGTGCCTTTAAAGGAATACTGAAGTTCTTCCAAATTAAACTGACAATGGGCTGACTAATCACAGATCAGCGATGTCTTCCCGGACTAAAATATCAGAAACGAGCTTATATTCTCATGGTGATCACCCGCTTTTTACAAGTGGTTCGATTGATAAGCCAACATTAATACATATGTGGGTACAAGTCAATTTGCCAGTACATGCATGCCTGTGTCCAAAAGCTGTAGCCTTCATCAATGTAGGTCTAGTAGTACACACGGGGCAGCCGCCAGAAATTGGAGTCGTTCTTGATTATTATAGTTTTCAAGTATTTTGCTAACCATAAGTGTTATCCTTTATTGAACCAGATTTGTCCCCCGTCAACCGCCGGGACCTTCCTTTCCTGCGTAAGCTTTACTATCTTCCGCTATGGTCCCAACCTGTGACACCAACACCTCGTGGAAGTGACGCGTATGCAACAAAAAGGAGTTTCATACAGTAGAGGCGTCGAAATAATGAGTGACGGTAGATTTTCCGCTTCCCTTCCCCATCCTCCCTTCTCTCTCTCCACTGCCCTCCAGCTGCCACAGCAGCACCCTGTAGAATGACTTTAAGTTACTCAGTGGGTGTTTATATAGCGGTAGGGTGCAGACAGACATACATACATAAAGACATACAAACGGGCACACCAAGTTAGTAGTTTATAAAATAAAAGTGTTACTCGGAATTGTTAAAAAATGTATCCCACAGACCGGAGCAACCGCTCAGAAGGCTTCTGCCTGGACTGTGCTTCTGGGCGAGAAGAGTTCTCAAGGTTACCACCTCACATTTCAGGGCGTGCATTTCAGAAAAATCATGTTCAGCCTTCATGGACAGCAGACCAAGTTCAATTTCTCATTTCGTTCAAGAACCGCTTGAGACCAGGGGAGAACGAAGACGAAGATTCATGAGAAAAAAATGCCATATGGGAACTGGATACTGCATTTCCTTGTGAAATTCATATTACGAATGTCAAACCCACTTGTCCACAAGTTCATGTACTCCACATTTTTAAAAGACGGTAGCACATAGTTTTCTTTGAAACTTGGTCCTCTTGCAAACATGATCATGTGTATGGTTGGTATAATAAAGTCGTACCCATGCGTGCCGTTTTTGAAGAATTTTATTGAAGCGGGTTCCCTGTAAATACAGCTTCGAAATTCAAATCGCCGAAAAAATCGCATTCGTGAAAAATTAGAAGGTATCTTAGAACTAGAGTTGGTAGAAAGGAAACTTGTTCACGACATACGAGGATGTGTTATGAAAGAATCTAAACGCATAATACAAATGGTGCACTAGCTCGAGCTCCTCATAAAATTTTCCTGCCATGGAAGTGTTAGTGAGATGTCAAAGCTAATTATTACTAATACGACATCTGTTCTAGGAATATATAACCCGTTCACTAAATATAAAGAGTTGGAGGCTTGTCGGTCCCGTCGGTATATCGATCGGTCGTATATCCCAATCTGCTCGATAGACAATTGTTTACCTGTCTGGTCCAAACACCCATTTCATTTTGGCCATTTGCGATAAAAAAAACGCTAGGAGAAACCCAACACTATCGAAGTATGAAGCCAAACACCTAGAGGATCGCTGAGTTCAGAGCTACGCCACTGAAGTAAACTATAAACCAGAAGGGAAGCATGTGTAGGATGAGTATAAACTCCATATTCGCAGCGGGAGGCGGGCTGCGTGAGCGCGTCATGGGTGCGCGCGGGCGTGCTGGTGCCCATGGAAGTTTGCCATCACAGGGCGGCTGGCAACCGAGAAGTTAGTGTATCGGCGTATTGATATTTCGTCTGCGCCATCCTGCCCACACGCTGCCTCCTGTTCTCTGCTTTCTGCTCCTCCTCAAAACTATACTCTCTCGACGGGCTCTTACGTCTGGATCTGACAGCGCATGGACGGACGGATCAGCTGTTTCTACTCTTGTTCTGCTGAAAACTAGTATTTTGCTACTTCGTCAGGCTCCATTTCACGAAGGTAAGTTGCTCTTAGCGAAATTAGTTCGTTCTACATGCGCATTGAATTGTTTTTATCCGCAATTGTGCATGTTTCTGAGGTTTTCAGCGACTCACATTATTTTATTTATTTTATTTGATTATTTTTCTGGTTTATTCGGATTGCTCTTCATTTCGGTGTCTTTGATGTGTTCCTTTTCTTTGTCTGGAACTCACTGAAAACTGAAGCGAGTTCTGAATAGCTGCAGTATCCTTTGAAAAGCGGATTTGTCCAAGATTCTTGCTGCATGCTTTGTGCATATCCTGCTACGTGAGCATTTCTTTTCTGGTTTTTCAAGACTTCGTGTTTGCTTGCCCACCTTCATTCGGCGTCTTTGATGTGTTCCAATTTTTGTCTGGAACTCACACAGACTCTGTTTTGAAGGAGGTAGTCGCTTCGAAATGTGTCCACATTAAGGTTACTCCACAACTGCCGTTTTTCGCCTACGCAGTGAGTTTTTTTTCATTTTCAATGGTTTATTTATTGTCAGACTCGTAGTTAGTATTAATGCGTCTCGTTATCAACGGGAACCCTCTTCTTTAGGAACTGTTTGAAACTTGCTGTTCTTTCCAGATATGTTTTATTCCATGAAGGCTGCAATCGCTTTGCTTCTGGTGGGTTCTTTATTGTATATTATAATCTAAACCTGAATTGCCTTGAAATTCCATATGAGAAAACGTATTTAGCATACCCTTTGATGCTGTCCCAGTTGATGTGGATGTACCACGGTTCTTACAGAGAGAATGCAGCCGTTTCACACCGGCTGTCGCATCATAGTTCCTTGAGTTTAAAGGTGATCTTGTCGCGTTTTTTTACTCTGTCTTTGTTGTTTTTAGCATTTCCAGTTTTGTAGGCGTATGTCCGTAGAATTTTCACTTGTATTTGCATTTTCATTAACGGTTATACGATTATTTTTAAGCACCAAGTGTTTATATGTTACCATTAACTGAATTTTGTTTTGGTGACGCCTGTTTTGTTTATATTTTACACTCTTTTGACTGGGGCACACTTTGTGCTCCTATCTTGAATAAGTATCCGATGATATCATGATTATTTCCTAGTACTCTTGTACACAGTTCTTTGAGAATAATCTCTATTACAGTTTTTATATTATAATGGTGTTTTTTATTGCTAACTAATTGTATAGAAACGAAGGTAAAGCAATGATAAGTTATTTCTTAACAAACAACACCAACTTAGTATAAAAACGGAAGGCCTTTGCCTTCGTTTCTACACAATTAGTTAGCTTAGCAATAAAAACACCATTATAATATAAAAACTGTAATAGAGATTATTCTCAAAGAACTGTGTACAAGAGTACTAGGAAAATAATCATGATATCATCGGATACTTATTCAAGATAGGAAGCACAAAGTGTGCCCCAGTCAAAAGAGTGTAAAATATAAACAAAACAGGCGTCACCAAAACAAAATTCAGTTATGGTAACATATAAACACTTTGGTGCTTAAAAATAATCGTATAACCGTTAATGAAAATGCAAATACAAGGTGAAAATTCTACGGACATACGCCTACAAAACTTGGAAATGCTAAAAACAACAAAGACAGAGTAAAAAAACGCGACAAGATCACCTTAAACAAGGACTATGGAATTGCGACAGCCGGTGTGAAACGGCTACATTCTCTCTGTAAGAACCGTGGTAACATCCACATCAACTGGGACAGCATCAAAAGGGTATGCTAAATACGTTTTCTCATATGGAATTTCAAGGCAATTCAGGTTTAGATTATAATATACAATAAAGGACCCACCAGAAGCAAAGCGATTGCAGCCTTCATGGAATAAAACATATCTGGAAAGAACAGCAAGTTTCAAACAGTTCCCTAAAGAAGGTTCCCGACAATAAACGAGACGCATTAATACTAACAACGGGTCTGACAATAAATAAACCATTGAAAAATGAAAAAAAACTCACTGCGTAGGCGAAAAACGGCAGTTGTGGAGTAACCTTAATGTGGACACATTTCGAAGTGACTACCTCCTTCAAACAGAGTCTGTGTGAGTTCCAGACAAAAATTGGAACACATCAAAGACGCCGAAATGAAGAGCGGGCCAAGCAAATAAAGAACTCTTAAAACAAAAAAGTCACGTGGCAGGAGGAATGCACAATGAGTGCGGCAAAACTGACAAATCCCTTTCAATGATCAAGCTTCAGAACAGTGTCAATGTGAGTTCCAGACAAGAAAAGGAACACATCAAAGACACCGAAATGAAGAGCAATCCGAATAAACCAGAAAAATAATCAAATAAAATAAATAAAATAATGTGAGTCGCTGAAAACCTCAGAAACATGCACAATTGCGGAAAAAACAATTCAATGCGCATGTAGAACGAACTAATTTTCGCTAAGAGCAACTTACCTTCGTGAAATGGAGCCTGACGAAGTAGCAAAATACTAGTTTTCAGCAGAACAAGAGTAGAAACAGCTGATCCGTCCGTCCATGCGCTGTCAGATCCAGACGTAAGAGCCCGTCGAGAGAGTATAGCCTTGAGGAGGAGCAGAAAGCAGAGAACAGGAGGCAGCGTGTGGGCAGGATGGCGGCGACGAAATAGATACGTCCGGAGTAACACTAAAACTCTTTCGATCGCCAGCGCTGGGATGTTCGCAAACTTCCATGTGCCACGCAGCCCGCCGCCGGCGCAACCCATATAGCTCGCACGACAGACCGCCCTCCCGACTTCGTAATATGGGTTTATGTAGGGAAGAAAACTAGCAGCTCAAGGGACAAGCTTGTGTTCGCACCAACACAACAGACTACAGTAGTCCGTTGAAGCTGTTTGAAGCCGAATTTTTGAACACACAACACACGAGAGTCTGGCATGGGGGTCACACGGCTGAAGGAGGGGCTTCTTTTAAAGCTGGACTATTGCATTTTATCTGAACTTTTTGATAAGCTGCTCAGCAGCTATTTCGCCCCATGCTTCCGGAGCAATTATCTTATTGCAAAATTGCATACTCACGAACATATAGGGAGCGTTCGAGAGATCGACACCTGCCTTTGCAGGAATCTAGAAAAGGGAGTGGCTGTGCGCAGGATGGACGTGGAGGTGGCCAGTCAGAGACTTTGCAAGGATTTTTCCAATCGATCACAAAATTCATGAGACAATACAGAGTGGGGCAAAATTACTGGTGCACCAACATAGAATATATTTTTTTGAATTTTGTGCTAGACTTTCTCGTCCGATTATTTCATGATGTGTAGCTTGAACACGCTGCTACTAGTGAGCATTAATCACAGAGTGTTTAGGTCCTCGACTTTGCAAAGTGCATCAACCAAACTCTGAACCATTTTGACGGTTTTTCAAGTTCTCAAATTTTGATCAGACATGTATTGGTATATTGGTACTCGGTAATTGTTCAGAACCATGGGCGTGTCTTCACTTTGGAGAGGATTACGGGTGAATTCACCAAAGGGTTTGCTTCAGGACACTGACCGAGAATGGTCCAGGAACAGTGCACCGAGCAAACCCTCAACTTCCTTAGTTGTGACGAAAAGGCTCTCCAGTTCTCAGGGAATACTGATATACATATTTCAAAACATGGGCTACCCTAAAGAGGAAAGTCTGCTCTATCAAGTGCCGGACTTTGAGCCGGTTTTGGCGGTTTTTGAGTCCTGGCACAAAATTGATGAAAAATACGTACGTGCCGCTAGAAAGTTTAGAGAATTGTGTGAGGGCTCGGTCATCTTGTAAACTTCTAATATGTTTGAAGTTGTCATCTTTTCTACAAATAATATTCGTGATTAGAATCGATTTCTGAAAGCTAGTCTCGAAATGCCAGCAAAATATTGGTGCACCAGTAATTTTGTCCCACCCTGTGCATTTGATCTCAGTGTAACGAAATGCGATAGATCAATACATGAACTCCCTCGACATGACCAGGGTGCCTTGAATACCGCTCAAGAACTCTTTTTCCTCGGCAATTCAGCACATATGTACCGAATGGGTTTCTACTTCTATCATAATTTCCATCAAAAACTTGTAAGCATCCAGGAATGCTATTATAAAGGCAACAATTCCAGATCGAATTCGTTGGATAAAAACGGTCAATAATGAAACTGTGGTTGCCGAGTTGACCGCAAATAAAGAAAAACAAAGAAAACGCCAATGAAGCCCCTGAATAGGGATTCCTTCTATTTTCCAAAATTAAGGAAGGGGCTGGCAGCTGGAGCTGTCCGAACTGGCTTGCTCCGCCGGCGTTTATAGATAGCTTCCCCTCAAGAAATGCGGCGGCAATCGTGTGCACCAACAGAGACACATGCATCAGTACAAATAAAGAAATACGATTATCAAATGAGTCAAAGAAGTAGAACCAATCAAAAAATGCAGCAGGAAGTATACACGCAATCGCGCAAGAACCCGCACTCGAGCACGCGATTTCCACGGCTGGCAGTGGGCGTTACTGAATATTGTCGGCAACGCCCACTTCGAAAAGTTTAGTCCCTTCTAGCGGCTTTCCAAGGTGAGTTTTTTTCAGTGACACTTCTTATGTTCTTGACTAGGGCTAGCGCATCATTTCACACCATTAGTATCGAAGGTAAGGATCCTGCTGGGACTGTCGCTTCAAAAAGAAAGGGAAGGGTCTGCTCAGTACTTCTCAGGAGAAAACCATATAGCTAACACAAGCAACTTCACAAGGTTTTGTAGCCATTTCCACCTCCAATTCTCATGAATA